AAAAGGATAAGACAGACGAATACACTCTTCCAATTGAAGTTCGAGCATATTAATACGGTAATAAGGCCATCGACCTAATAGCTGCTTTCATGTTTTCTCGACGTTTTAAGAAATCTAAAATACGAAAAAACAGGCCCCGTTTCCGTCTGTCTGTCGTCTATGCCAATTTTTGTTAGAAAGATGATCTTCGAAACTGCTGGACCCGTGGTTGTCAAATTTTATATAAACGCTAAGAATATCGTGTAGACAGTAAATCTACAATCAAAAATGTCTCTTCATCCACACCAACAATAGGATGACGTCATCTCCAAATTTTACAATGGCAAATGTTATTTAAATTTTATAAAATAAGATACCCCGGCACTTGTGATTGTTGAATACGTATTGAGTTTTTACCTTACACCTCCAGACTTTTGGGAAAAAAATTAATATTGCATAATAAAATTTTACAATTTAATTTTGAATTTGCAGAACCGAATGTTGTGAAATCGTATAAACATTTTAAGATTATCGCAAGTATTGCTAATCAAAATTTGTCCGTTTATGCCCTCACCCAAAAATTGTGATATCACAACTTGATATGAGGTTATTTCGATACAACTGGCACCTGAAGTACAATAAATCACATCTAGCTTTTCCGAAAAATTACAAAATTTGATTTTCTAGTTATTATTTTTCTATGAGAATCTGTGTAAGTTAAAATTAAGTTATGTGTAATGTTAAAGTCAGCATAAAGAACCTTGTTGTGCGCATGTTTTAAATGAGTTTCTCCTTTATAATACAAAATTTTGTGATGACGTCAATTTTTTGCAAGGACACATATCAGTTTGAATTGTTGCAGTGTAATATTAATAATAACGATATTATATTCCCTAATTTTTCAGAAAATCGAACGCACCGTTCCTAATTAATCAATAAAATAAACTGACTCTCATTCATTAACTTTTTTGAGTCACATTGTATAAGTATTTCTAAAAAATATGAATGCTATGATCATATTTTGGACATTTTGAAATGACATCATAATTTTTTTGGAAATATAAACAGAGTTCCATTAAAAATTTATATGCTTACGATAACTTTAAAACGTCTGCAAGATTTCAAAACATTCGGTTTTGCAGATTCAAAATTAAATTGTAAAATATTGTTATACAATTTTACTGTTTTTTCAAAAATCAACACGGATTTATAAACTACACGTGTAGGACTATGTAATTTTATACAATTTAAAACCCATGTACAATTTTGAGATGACGTCATCACATTATTCGTGGCGATAATCGATGATAACAATCGGTCCAGTAGTTTCGGAGATTATCTATCTAATAAAAATCGACACAGACAGACAGAAACGGGAGACCTTTTTTTTGTATTCTAGGGATCATGAAACGTCCAGAAAACATGAAATTGGCAAGTCGTCCGATGGCTCGATTACTATACTTTCTCGGCTTACGCTCGGGAAGACAAAAGCAATTAAATTTCATTTCTTTTAATGCAAATTACGCCGCTGATGCTTATTATCTGAATAGTCGAATTTTTTCGCAGTATAAACATAAATAGTCGAAGTTAAATTGAGAAATAGAGAATATATTTTTTTTCATTTCTATCTAACTTTGAAAAAATGTCAAAAGAACTTAATTTGGACGAAAGTTGTCAAAATTAAATAAAAGATCAATAATTACTGAATATTAGTCTGATTTTGGACAAAATTTTATAAAAAAAACGAGTGTAATATGGCTCTAGGTCACTCGAGAAAACTTTTTCTCGCGTAATGTGTATGGAAGCTACGTAACACTTAAAGTTTATAGTGTGACATGTCCTTTACTTCCGACTTAATAAAAAAATTCCTTAGGTCCTTCGCGCTCAGAACGTGACTCCTTTCCTGTCATGGTTTTTTGTCACTAGATTTTGTTCGGTCAAATTGTAAGATGATCATATATAAGTAAAATTAAATTTTTGTTAACTATTTAAGTATGATTCCTATAAATTCAAAACTGTTGCAAGATTTCAAAGCATTCGGTTTTGCAATTTTAAAGTTAAATTGTAAAATGTTATACACTTTTTGTTATTTTTTTCCAAAAATCTGGATGTCTAGGGTAAAAATTCAACACGGATTCATAAACCACAAATGCAGAAGTATGTTATTTTATAAAATTGAAATAACAGTTATTATTAAAATTTATATATAAAATAACTGGCAAATAAATTTTCTGTTAATGTTCTTCTGATATAATAAGCTGAATGTGGAAACAGAGGTTTCTCGAAACATGTCCTTGTTTTGATAAAATACTAGCTGCAAAAAAACAGGTTTCTTATGAATCTAAATAAAAAAAGTGGAAGTACTTATATTTAAAATGCAAAAATCTGTCTAACAAAATTCAACACAAACGACAGACGCCAAATAAACAATGAGGCAGACAGACAGACAGGCAGTCGGCCGATGGGATCGATCACAATACTTCCTTAACTTACGGTCGGGAAGTAATAAACACTTGGTACAACAATAAAATTTGTAGAACGAAATTTTATTTTTTCTTAGAACTTACGTAACAGCTGTCTCTAAAATTTTGCTAAAAATAAAAAATGATTTCAAAGAACTGCTGAAATAAAAGAATATTTATTTATATTGAAGTTGATTATTTGATATAAAAAAGTTGTTAAATATGCCTATGTTATGACCTCCCTAGTTTAAGTGGTGCATAGACATTTTTTTTATTTACTTATTTAATGGATTTTATTTGTTAATTTACATTGTACTGTGCCTGTTATATATAAATTTATGTTGTATTTCAAGGGGCGAACAGCACACGTTTCTTTTCATTATAATTATATAAAAGCTCCCGAAGTCCAAGTCCCACAAATCTCGCTTCTTTAAAAAATAATATGATAACCTATATAAAGTAAAAACCAGCAGTATAAGCAACACCTCCGCAGCCTCTACACCGTGGGGCTTGCAAGGGATTGTGCAAATTGCACAAGTCCGGACAACGCAAAACATATTTAAAGCAGATAACCAATGGGAAAACATGGCTTTCAGCAATAATAAGCTTTAGCTTCAAGTGTTGGTTTAATTCTTATTAAATAAAGACTTGCGTGTTCTCATCTTTTCGAGAAAATGGGATGACTAATCTTAATTTGATCAATAAAAATTTGTTAATACGTCGTGAACATAGACAATACACAGCGCAAGAGAAAAAGAACGCCAAGTTTGGCATTGAAATTGTGACCACAGATTCACATCTTGACGCCATAACCACTTGGCCATAGTCGGTTATATTCTGAGTTGATATTGTTATTATACTGTGTTAATTTTTTTATGAACATTTGGGAGTTTAAGGAAAAACTCAAAAAGGATTCGTACACCATAAGTATAGGAATTTATTATTGCATTGTATTTAAATCATTTTAAAATAGAATTCTTTAATATGACGTCATCAATTTATTAGTACAGATGATTAACCAAATTTTGGTTAACATTTAACTATCTTCATGATATTTCTAATATACGTACAAAATTTGACAACAATCTGTCCAATAGTTTCGGAGCGTACGTGTCTAATAAAAATGGATACAAACCCCCGACAGATTTTTTTTTCTTTTTTTTATCCACAGTGTGAATCATCCCCATTTCACTCCTTATCTTTCACGGCCCCGAGGATAACAGTGATAAAAATATGGAGGCACGAGTAAGGGAGTAAACATACTTGTAATCAAGAAAATCGGTTTTATTTTGGATATTATTTTTCTTCCGCCCCTACTTTTTTTCTGGTGTTTAAAAAAAAAATCGATATATCTACGATAACTCAAACCAGTTATGATTTTACTAACACTTGCGTATAAAAGACCTATTTTTTCTTAAACCTGGTCAAAACGCTCCCATTTGTTGATTTCTCTGCTCCGAATGGCTGCCCCGGATGTGATGTCAAAGCGCTGAAAGTCTGGTCCTCCTCACCTGTGCACCGAACAATTTCTATTCACGCAGCTAAAAGCTCTCAAGCTTTTGTTCTTCTTTACCGAGTTCAACGGTTATGTTCTTATGGGCGTTCTACACCTGATAGTCCCATCCGATTACCTTTTCATTACAGACAAGTCTTTTAACTTCCATGCGAAGTTTATTACATGCTATCCGATCCTTGATTCAACCGAAAGTTTTTGCCATTGTAAAGAAAGCACCTTCCAAGGAAAAAGTCGTTGAATTTCAGGTTTGTGTCGAGTTACGCCGTTTCCGGATCAAAAATTCTCACCGAACCAGGGCGCCAAGGGCTAATATCAAACTCACTGCAGTTAACTTCTCAATTAATCCGGGGTCAGGTAAAGTCATCGAGTTGCAAAGAAGTGAATGCGAGGCACACCTGGATAGAGGATGCGCGATTGCTTCGAAATATGTTTCTAAAGAATTGACCTAACTCTAGTTATCCTCATTAGTTGCTTGGACGGGCCGGGACAAAAAGAGGATGGCGGCCCTGCACACAGCACGAAGGGATGCAGCATTTAGGGATAATTTCGCTTGAATGATGCACATATGCTTATTGCACACCAGGGATATCCAATTTTCGCTCCAGCAAAAATCTGCCAGGATCGGACCCCATTTTTAGTCTTCAACGAATTGTCGAACAAATTAAGATAAGGGAAGTTAAAAGCGTTGTGGCATCATATTTCGCTAATAACTCGAAATTTAGTTTTGGAAACTTTACGGTGTTCTGATTTCGATCTTGGACACCCCTGGTTGAAGTGGAAACATGGCCGCCGAATGCGATCCGTTGTTAAAACGCTCTGCCTTTGTGCCTTTGCGACTAAATACCGGATTATTTTTGTTAAAGTCCCTACCTCGCACCTAAATGCCGAACTGCACATGCTTGTAAAGAACTTTAAAAATAGAAAGAGTGTTGGCTTATTGTGACTACATCTATAATTATCACTTGAATTTTGGCCATTAAAGTGTACACACATGATAACGATGATTGTTTAATGTTGATCTACAAATGTACTTAATGTTTGTCGCCAGATAGCGTGTTATCTAAATTCCAGCTGATCGAAAGTCTTAAGTGTTGGTTTTACATAAAAGTGTGTCTTATTCCTAAGGTAATTTATTCCTCATGCATATGGAACCTTGTTTTTAACTTGTAATCTGATTGTCGTTACCATTGTGAGAGACATCAACGCCATGTCAAGAAGCAAAACCCTCTTATGCTTAATCATATATCTCGAGATTTTATAAATCAAAAGGAACTTCTTTAAGGTACTTCATCTTGAATGGGCGACCGCAAAAGATGATTTTTTAAAGGAACTAGTTCAAAATTTTCCCACGATACAGTTTTAGTATTTTTAAACAATAACTTAGTGCAATATGAACTTGATAAAAGCAATGTTTATAAGGTAATTGGTGTGTTTTAAAAATATATTTTATTTTCTATTAATTATTTGGCTTGTATATACAGGGTGTTTTGACAAACTAAATAACTAAACACAACTTTTTGTAGCATGTTTTGATAAAATAACAGGGTAGGTTTCTACAAATATAATATTTGTAGAAATATTTGTAGAGATATTTTATTTTATTTATGAATATTTATAATGTTGATTCAAGATCACAAAAATTTTGTTTACCGTTTATTATTGTAACAAACTGTTTTTTAGACCGCCTAGATTCTCATAATATTGTCGCATAGCAATAACTTTCTTTCGGTTTTAGGAAATGATGATAAAATTAGTCAAATCGTGATTAATTACTTACGTTCACGCTTAGTGCAGTGACGATCACAATCACTTTGATAACGTATCAAAATCATTCAAACCACTTATACCCACAATGTGCCTTCTTAGAGTTACACATGCTCACTTACTTTTTTTCGTGGATTAAAAATAACTGCACACTCATAAATTTAAATTTAAATTATTTAGACAGAATTTCCCTCGCGTCGAGGAGATTTTTCTATAATGAGGAAGCATCTGTTGCATTTCAGAATTGACTGGCAGTTTTTAAGATCAAAAACGTACGTTGATTTTTACTTGTATATAGGTTTCATTCAGCCAATGCCTACTTTCATGTTTCTCGACGTTTTATGACCTCTAGAGAATGAAAAAAATAGGTCTCCCGTTTTTTTCCAAAAATTTGCATACCCAAGGTTAAAAATATAGAAGCAATAATAAACACATTTCAGTAGGATTTATGTAGCAAAATTTTAAACCCGCATTCACAAATGTTTGCAAAAGATAAATAACAAACTAATTTTGATGAGTGATTTAGCACATTTATGAAATCATATAGCGTTTACAAAATTTCAGGCCAGACGGTTCTGTAATTTCGAAGACAAATTTTCAAAATTTCTTGTAAAATTTTGAACTTTCTCTAAAAATTTAGATATTAAAGAAAAATAAAAAAAGTGTTATTTCATAAACTTTAAATAATATTTCTCTAACAAAATTTTAAGATGACGTCATCAAATTGTTGCAGGGGATGAACACAAATTTTGGTTGACGTTTAACCATCTAGTCTACACGATAGCCTTACGGTACACCAAAAATATTTCAGCAATCGGTGCAGTAATTTTGGAAGTCACCCTACAATATCCCCAACACACAGAGAAATGGGAATGAAAATTTTGGCTATACAAACTGTGAAAAAAGATGAAAACAAGAAATTGTTCTCTGGTATTTTCCTATATTGTTACGTTGATTGGTAATTTAAATCGGCGTGGATAAAACTCAACACTTTACTTCGCAGTAATACAAAACTAGATGATTAACTATACAGCGATTATGTACAGAATAATTCCGACTCGACTGGAATGGGTTTGACTAGACTCTTTTCCCACATTGGCTGGACTCCACTGACTGCCCCTCAAACTCATAGGCATCTAGGACGGCGTATGGATTTCTTTCGTAACAATATTATGTAGGCTTGAATGTAATAATAAAATCCTTGTAGATAATAATAAAGTAGATTATCAGTCTATAATTTGATAAGATTGTATATACAGTATTTAATAATAAAAATTCTTGTTAATTTTATTATCTAAATTATCATAGTGTCAATTTCACTACGTACCAGGTTTAATTAAATTGCATTTAACAACAATTATCCATATTGCACATTATTGTAAACTTAAATTACGATCTACACTATATGTTTATGAACTTGTAGAAAATTCATACAACGAACACGTATTTTTCTAAAAATTAATTAATAACTCAGAAGGATTTTTTTCTTCTGTAGAATATAATTTTTGAAACAGCAATAAAAAACACAATCAAAAACAGCCATGAATTCTTGAAAGTTTATCTTTGATCGTTGCATTTTCAACTCAAACTTTCACATCGACGGAAAACTGGCAAGACGAAACTCTATCAAAGAATAATTTCCAAAAATTCATGGCTGTCTTTGATCGTGTTTTTTATTGCTTTCTCGACATAAATAAGTTCAATTTTTAACCAGATTCCAAACATTCATTGTCATAGTTTAAAACCATAGCAACAGGACTGACTCATTTAAGTTACGTTTAACCTTTGATCAAGTTACATGCGACACTTTAATGTTTCATTTATTGCTAAATAAAAGAATAATTATAACAAGCACATTTTGATATGAGTAGAAATTAATATTTATTTGACATTTTACAACCTATAGAATACGAAAATACAGACATCTGTCTGTCTCTCTATTGGAAAATTGTTACGATGAACGGGTATTTAAAATCGGCGTGGGTTAAAACTCAACAATTTATTTCTTAGTAACTCAAATTTACGCGACTAATTACACAGCGATTGTGTACAAAATAGTTCCGGCGCAACTTGACTGGCTTCTCTCAACATTCGCTGGACTCGACTGGATTGAATAATAATCGTTCCCGAAGGTGGCGTCTATTTAAATTCATACTTATTTCTAGATGTTCGGCAATCGGGGCCTTTCTGGCATACCCATCGCGAGTTCCGCTTCCAGGCATTTCTTTAGCGAACGTCGCTCTGCCGCCGTCACCGACGATGAGTCATCATCGCCGTACATACTAGAACTCATGGGTTTCTTTCGTAACACTATTATTAAAAATAAACACACTTACGTAATATGTGTATGAAGAACGCTAAATAAAAATTGTCCTTGTATCCTGTATTAATCAAACATTTAAATTTCAAAAAAAAAACATTTAAACTAAGTGGCAACGGTAATTTTTGAGCGCACTATAACTTTAGCCGAACTATAAATTTAAAATAGCACACCACTTGCGACATCCGACTAGTACAACATAAAAGACTCAGAAGTTGATAAAAAAAAAAATAGAAAAGTTTTCTATATGAATTTAGAATTTGATGCGGCTTTCTTTTAATTAGAAAACCTGAAAATTTTATTAAATTACAGTTAAATTAACTTTGATTGAACACGTTTGTGGTTTAAAGGACATGCGAAATATGCATATGTAGGGTGAGTCACTAAGAGCGCCGCAGTGTACCATACCTCATTAATTATGTATTAACGATAGAAAAAAACTATAGACCAAAGTTGTGCAGCTCTTTGAGGACTATATTCTAAAATAATTTTTAACTAAACAGAATGTTCTGTTTTTAAGGTGCAATACAAAACTCAGTTTTTTTAAATTAAACATTTTATACATTTTTACATACTCTTATTAGCACCTTTCTAAGCTTTATAATTTCAGTTTATTTTTGAAATTTCAGTACGATTTTGCCATGTTCCAATTTTCTAAATATTCTAAATATAAAGTCGCGATCTTTTCTATAGAACCACTCCCTAGTGTAAATTTTTAAAATTTGTTTGATGTAAGTGACCTTGACGGGTTTGTGGGGGAAAACATATGTGTCAAAAATTTGACAGGTTAGATGGCCCCATTGTCAATGTAGATATTTTATTTTAATAAATAGATGAACAGAACATACAGTCTGCACGGGATACAGTGCGGCATAGCTGAGGGCAACCGAAACATTCGTGTTGTGCTAGTTTCGATTGCCATGTCAACTACCGCTACCAACCGCGTTCGGCGTAAAGTACTAGGTGACAGGGCTACCAACTTGACTTTTTATCGAGTGGTTCCGTAGAAATGACCGCTACTGTACCTAAATATTCTAAAACTTTACAATTTTCAAATATCGATATATCAGTATTTTCAAATAAAACACTCTGTATTTTTTAACTTTATCTTACTCTATTTTTTATTCTTATTCTTCTAATATGTCGATATGTCTCTTGACAGCAGTAACTATCAACTTTAAGTATAGAAAATACTTAACAAAAAATAAAAAAAAAAACAATAGAATAAGACGCAGTAATAAATTATAGGGTGTTTTATACGAAAAAACTGAAATATCCATATCTGAAAATTGAAATTACGTTGCAACGTCGGGATTTCAAAAATAACCTGCCTAGTTGTAAAGCCTGAGAAGAGGCCAATCAAAATATGTAAAAATACGAGTATATAAGATGTTTCATTTAAAGAAACGAAGTTTTGTGTTATGGCTTAAAAACCAAATACATACTCTGTATAATTAAAAATAATTTTAAAGTATAATCTTTAAAGAACCGTACAATTTTAGCCTTTGACTTTTTCTTCTGTTTCCAATAATTAATGAGATATCGAGTATCGTGCGTTTAGTAACTCACCCTGTATATTTTTAGCAGCTCCGACAAAATTTAATATTGCGACTTTTTCTCTCTCTCTCTCTCTCTCTCTCTTTCTCGTTCTTTCTCGCTCCCACTTTTTGTCGCTCTCGTAAATGATGAAGAAAACAATTTTTTTTATCCACTAAACTTTAGTTTTTACCCATTGACATATCGCGTTACTCATGATTTAATAGCTCACCAATTTTTTGATTAATCCTACACATATTCTGGCACAAATTATATGATGGAATCCCTAAAAAATCTCATGTTATACTAACACTCATTTAGAGTTTAGGTTTAAGTTTAATTTTTCATTTCACCCAGATAGTTGACGTCTCAAAAAATGATTAAATAAAGCTTAATTGAAAAATTAGGCTGTTTGTCGTCACTTAAAGGCCGATGACGTTATAAAAAATATTTTTTTTCACTAGCAGCCTGGGCGCATGCAAATGTCGACTCATTTAGTGGTAGCAAATTCAACTTTTGCTACCACGGGTTCAAAACGAAAAATTGAGGTTATGTACGCAATGTTTGATGTGATTATTTCTTAAAATATGAACAAATGTGTGCTACAAACATTACTTGAGTATACGCATGGTAGTTGGTAGACGGTGGAAGATAAAATGATTAACTCAGCGACAAGTATAAACGGTTTTCTTTGTGTTGAAGATTTAGATCAAGTTTGATTAGAAATCAAAACAAAATCATGTTGCGTCAAAAAATTGAACGTTTATTTTTCAGTTTATTGTCTTATGGTTTCTGCTAGTGAAAAAAATAGTATATTAACCACGGTTGCAAAGCCACTTCTAGACCTCGTACTTAGAGCCCTCGACGCTGCGCGTCTCGGGTTCTAATTTGCGCTCGGTCTAGAATGCTTGGCTCTGCAACCTTGGCTAATAATATACTATTTTACAGAAATTTAGACTGTTTTCTGTGACCTGACACCACCTACAAGAACAAATACGTATTAGCAATTTTACCCCGAAAAACGTTTTTCCCTCGGAAGTAAATTCATTCAAGGGAAGAATTAATTCGTGGCAATATGCTTAGCCAAGTAAGCTCTTCCGGTTTAGCAGCAAATTATCTTATTCATAAATCAACTTCTTTCATATTTACTACAGTTTCAGTTACAGAGATTCCAGGTAGCAAACACTAAAGGAACCGGTAATTAACCCAATACCACCTTCAGTTTGTTTCCTGTGAGTAGGTAGCCAATCTTACCGACTTTATGGTACGTAAACAGAGAATTGACAATTGATTTCCTGCTGGTCGTCGTTTCCTTGAAAGACGGTTCAGTAATAAATTCCCAAACCGTAGAAACACCTGTAGCCATGATTCATTTAACTCAAAAATTCCCCAAATTTTTATTGACCATCCTTTCGATACAACACTTATTTAGAAAAAAATAGCCAAAAATTGCCTCATTGAGCATTTTGATAATTTTTGTTTTAAACTTGGTGTTGTGCCAGGCGATAGCTTCCTGACGATAAAAAAACAGATAATGAGATGACATCTACCGGGATCAGTGCCGGCTGCAACCACACACAATGACCACTCTGATCTCTTCACAATGTCGAAGATTAGCCGATGGCTCTGTACGTCATATTGTTCTCTCCTCCAACCTCCGCTCTATAGCCGCAAACAAACCATTAGATAATTGATACGTGATTTTTATCGAATCGTGCTATCTAGGTTTGCCATTGCAAATGATGCTGATAGACTGAGGGCTTTATAAAACGCTAGAGGGTTAAAATCACTAATCATTTTTTACTTGCTCGTATGTGTCATCATTCCACATTCCCACGGATCCCTGAAACAAATGACGCTCGGACATTGCTGAGCATCCGTGATTAGGGAGGATGAAGCGTCTATAGGTAACATATGCGACGCCACCCCGTGTGAGTAGTTAGCATATTGTCATCAGGGGGATGATAGCAATATTTCCAATTAAGCGCCAATCTGTTGATGCGTGGGAATGTGGGAGCATTAAATAACCGTACTGTAGGTATGCGATGTACCTGTCATTATTGCTCAAGCTTTTCCCAGTGTACATTTGGACTGTCCATATCTGAGTACGAGGTCGCACTATAAGGGTTGTTTGTTAGTTTGCGACGGACTATAGTTGACACTACTCATTTTAATAGATAATGTTAACGCCTTTATCTGCTTTTGTACAAATGTGTCATTAACATTGATAAGCTATAGGGCATTGTAAAGCAAGAAACTGTAAAGAGAAATACTACTTCTACTTACTATAAGTGTTACTTACAGACTGTTACCTTCAGCAAAGACTTTTAAGTATTAACAAGCACGTTCCCCTTCCGATTTAAATAAAACCCACCTCTTAAATATGTGACACTATCATATATTATTAGTAAAAGTGACACTTAAGCGATAATTTTTGCTCGGTTATACACTCTAGTCAAAAAATTTACGATACGCAACGGTGCGTCGTTTAATTAACGAATGTATTCGTGTATGTGGTGTGTCAGTGGATAAAGCCGTTTATACACAAATGAGGCACTACAACATGAACGAGAAATATATTGAAACGGAACTTAAATCTGTTCTGGATTATTCGTGCATAACTAAACCAAATTTAAGGCACCACTTTCGATTAACCCCCCACCCGTCCCTCTTGACGCAAGTTTGGAAGTATAACTCATCATCGTAATAGTCGATGTTAGACACATATGTGTAAGTAATTATTATTATTAAGATAAGTGTGATAAAACACCCATTCTTCGTAATACCTTAGCTCAATACCACACTTGAACTAGAATATAAATCCTTTAATTTTATTATTAAATATATTTATGAGCTCATTTAATTCACTAGATACATTTAACATTTTTTCAAAATTCTGAACTACTCGTGCCCGTTCTCCAGCAAGTGAAAGGATTTAACGCAGGTACAATTTCCGGTATTTTCTTTCTGGACCACATGGCATCACTTCCACCCCTATTGCATGCAACGCTTTCCTAGTCCCACACTATCATCAATATCATCAAACGAGTCCAGGTGTGCAATAATAAACCAAGGGGTAATTTGTGTCTGTCAATTAAAACCAAAACTGATTTCTTTCCTAATACGTTTTAATATCGCGAATTTTTCCAAAAATTTCATTTAGGAATCTGCGAACTCGATATATGAATATGAGCTTATAAAAAATACTTAAGCATGTCGTATCGCAGAAAGTTTACTCTTCATATTTGGCGAATAATTTAATCATCTGGTTGATTTAGTTCAAGGGGTGCAATGAAAACGCGTACGGAATTCGGTTATTAATATTCAGGATATCATATCGGACCCCTAATACTCTCTGCACATGTTATTGCTCTTTATTAAAAATATTTTGGTATTGACGTTACTCACCTACAAGGGGTTCCTACATGAAAAATTTTTCTAATTGGTGTTGTAAGCGAGGAGAATTAAAGTATTGTTTCCCGTATTTATCAGTGACAGATTCATTCATTTGGAGTGATCCGGTTGTAGCCGGTTAGAAAAAGTTTTTGAAGTGTTTGTAGGTAAAGTTCGATAGTATTTGTAGTAGCAAGGTCTACCTTGGTTACAGCGTGATTCAAAAAGTACTTAAACTTTATAAGGAAGCTTTTGATTTTTAAAAGCAAAGCAAAAATAAAAATTAATCTGTCCTGTACGTCAATTCGTTGTCACGAATCGAAATATCAGTAGATAAAGAGGAAAACAGAAAAGAAAGAAACGGAAAGAGAAGAGTTCTAATATGATTAATTGCAATCCAACTTAATTAAGATTTGAAATTTTTACGTCAAACATTCAGATAAAAGAAAAGGCTAGAGTTACCATCGTTTTTAGGCACCAGTTAGTATTAAAGTTGAGCTAGCTTTTGAATATAAATAAAGTTTCTTCAAACGAACGGGGTACACTTTTCGAACTATTTTAATAAGCACAACTTACCACCACTTTTATATCTACATTTGACTCCAATTATCTCTATACTTTATAACAAGAGTCTCTACGACATCGTACGTGACAAATTTTGGGAAGCGATACTGTATCACTAAATCTATAGTATGACGAAATCAACATTCCGTGTGTTGCAAGCTAATTTTGAAGTTTTTCAGAGATAATAAAGTAAAGTCAAGTCGTTAGATAAGCCAGAAAGAAATCAGATTGCAGTAGCATGACTTTGTATTTTGTGTGAGAATGTTAAAAATGCCTATACTGGGAACTTACTTCAATACCAGTAAGTAAATCACGTAGCTTTCGCTTTAAAAATATCATTTAAGCTCACGCATCAATTATTCATCATTATCATATTCCAGTTAAATTATAAATATGTTTTTTAATTATTCCCCATCTATGTACCGTCTACACCTGTCTACATTCGTTATTTTAACTCTTTACGTGTCTATTTATTTATGTATTTAGATAAGAATTTTGTTAAGTTCTAGACGCAAATTTTAGCCAGTCATCAAAATTTTTGTGACGAATTAGGTAAATATTTTTGTATCTAAATGACTTTGCAATTTATTAAGACGCACTTAATTTTTAGCGGCCTCTAGTGGAGGTTAAATGATAGCTTGTCTACGACTCTAGTACTCGTAGATATTAATCATAGATAGATAACAAACTAATTTACAACTTTTCTTAACCGAAAACGTTAAAAACGACCAAAGCTTTGACTCCATTTTCGTTTATTTTCCTCGAAAACACGACTTTACTACACCATATTTTCATTCACTTTCACTTTCTCATAATAAAAACTCGAGCTTTTCGCTTTATTACTAAAGTTGGCTTTGCTGTCACGCCCCTTCTACTACACGAGCAAGGTAAGGGTCGGATGGTTAACGGAAGAGGGTAGGGCTTAAGGCATCCCTTGTCGGGGTAGGGACATTTTCGACCAATGGGAGTCACATAAACGTTGCCGGCAAGTCAAAAAGGGATTCATTCATGTCGGTAAATCATCCAAAGGGTAAGCAAAAGCTTTTAAAAGTCTCGGAGTTATCTGTTCACAACGTTAGATCATTCACGTTAGTGGTTGTTTGAAGACTTCTTGGTCTTGTGGGTGCTGGGTCGTTTAGTGACATGAGTGATATACAGGGTGCAGAGGGTGCAATGGTGCATCACCTCGAACCGCATAGGTTGCAACTAAAGCCGCAGTCGCCGTCCTCATCGAGTAAGTTTGCGAGTTTTTTCGAGATTTAGTATCGTTCATGATTGTTTTCTTTTGTCAATAAGAAGTTTTTCATGTACGGGAATTTTTGTGTGCGATGTGTGACTGTACACAGTGTGGAATCAAAGTTGTAAATTCGGTCAAGTGTTTCTAGTGTTTGACATGTACTTCTTCAGGCTGAAGTTACATGGTTTTAGTTATGTAGTTTTTGTCAAGCTAAAGTTTTTTTTTAATAGATGAAATTAATACCTAATTGTCACAATTAATTACTTGTTTGAAATGTTACTAAATAAATAGAATTATTCTTAAGTGTGATATAACAATATCGTATTAACAGAAGAACCAACTAAGTATTTCTTACATAAGTAATTAAGTGAAGTTTATCTTCTAAAAATATCTAAGGTGATTTCTTTAACCCCAGAGTTCATTTCGCAATCAATTTCATTCATTTGTTATCATTTTATCAACTTTATTTCTCATGCCTATCAAATAAAAATGACCTGAAAACGTATTTGATAAGTTCGTTCAACATTTTTTGGATTCTGACATATATCTACAAAATTTTTTTTTGACAATAATTTATGAGGAGAATATAGACTTAATAATAAAGATAATGAAAAATAAATGCCATTTGAAGGTTACAAACATCATCTTTAAGGAATTTTAATACTTATTATTTCTCAAAAGTTTTTCTAAATTTCTAATTACCTAAAATTCTATTCAATTTAAAAAATGCTGAAATTAAAAAAGGAAATTCTAATCAATAATAATTTTTTGTACGATATGAGCTTCCAGTTAAATACATCTTTAGATACAGTGTTCCAAATTTCTATTTAAATTAAAAAATACACTGTTCACCATATATGTATAACACCAAAATAATAATTATAATTTGATTCTCAAGTGAAATTAAAACTTGTTAAAAATTAATATTGCTTTATTACTTTTCTAAACCGCTTATTCTGAAAATTGTTACATATTTATTGATAATGGATGGAGTTATTAAAATTCTGTAAACTGCGTTGTTCTTAGCTTGACAGAGAAAACCTATATTGCAAATATGACGCAAATGTTTTATTTCAAATTGCAACGTATATTTTTTTAACGAATTTTGATAAACCAGATTGGTTAAAAAATAAAATGTGAGTTCTTTAATACACCCAACTTTTATTTTTTGTTTAAAAATTTATTTTTTTTATTGAATGAAAAAGAAACAAAAATTTAAGTCTTGTATACCACTGTAATTGAAATTTAATGGTCTATCAAAATAAAATATACCTTGTTATTTTAAAAAAGATTGGTTTACGTCGGGACGCCGACGCCATATGCGCGTCATATTGACAATGTACTAACTTAAGCTTAAAGCAACAGAGTTTACACAATTTCAATATCTCTATACGTTTTCAAGATATAAGGTCGCGGAATTTTATCTGGGACATTCTGTATATGCCGCAAATATGTATGAAGTATACTTATTTTTATATAAAATATACTCATTATAGTTGTACATACTATAATTATATGTATATGTAACTGGTGCCTATTTTAAAACGATGATTCCAAAAAAAAAAATGGTAACAAATTTATAATTTTATTTGACACAAAAGTACATGATGCAGTGAGCACTTGCCTAAAATTGGTTGATATTTTACAATATTGTAATTCTTCTCTTAAAAGTCTATAATTACTTTTTTATAAAACTCAAGGTTCTGAACACGGAAACAGTTACCTTTGAACCACATTCCAGATCTTTTATAACTGAATTCGTCGTAGATATTCCCAAAATATTTTTTCAATCTAATTTTATTTTTGCTATTTTTGCAATGTAATTTAAAAAATTATTTCAGTTAATGGTGATTTTAAAAAATTGATTATCATTAATATCATTAATAATAACGCAGCAATAAAAAACACGATCGAAGACAGCCATAAATTTTTGAAGATTTGTCTTTGACAGATTCTTCGTCTTGTCAGATCACCATCAATTTGAAAGTGTGAGTTGAACATGCGACGATCAAAGACAAACTTCCAAGGATCGATGCTTGTCCTTAATCGTTTTTTTATTGCTCTCGCGGTATACATGCAAACTGTATATTGTTCCGAATTCTACATGATGTTAAAACTTTTTAAATTACATAATTTTTGGTCTTCATTCTTGATTAATTAAAATCATAAGGAGAAAATATTATTTGTTTTGAAAAACTTTGTGACGACACATTATTATTTTAAAGTTTACATTAATTAAATTTACGATCCAATTTAAGTGAACATTCGTGAAAATTTTTACTAAAGATACATATCTATTTATTAAAAAAAGCAGCACTTACCTATTTTATTTAGTTTTATTATTCGAAGTGTATTACTGTTTACACATTGTTTTATGTTCAAAATAGTGTCACTCAAAGATGAAGCAATACAGCATTTAAATTTAATATATATAAACTGATAAAAACCGGCAATTTTTGTAGTAAATATCATTTTACATACTCGCATTGGATCTGATTTTCACTTCCCGAGCGTAAGCGAAGAAAGTATTGTAATCGAGTCCGTCGACCGACTCTCTACTTTTACATTTTCTCGACCTTTCATAGGAAATAGGTTTCCCGTTTCCGTCTGTCTGTGTGTCTGTCCGTCTGTCCGTCCGTCTACCGTCATGGATTTTTTCAAGTTGTAACTTAAAGGTACAAATAAGAATACATTTAACTTGTCCAAAATATATAATTATATAAGGAAGTTATAAAACAGCTTCTTTAATGTGTAAATCCCAGTGTGAATTCATAAAAATATAGACAATATTTCTTAACATGTTTTAAGTTTTTTTTTTTTTTTGTAGTATCTGTGCTATTTTTGATTTTGTTATCCTGTAATTGGATCTCGGTTTACTGAACATCAATAAACATTACTATTATTATTATTATTATTATTAAGATATTTAGTTTATCAAAAATATCAGATTGATTTAAATCAGTTTATAATTTAAACTTTCAAAAATTTTGGATTGTTATAAGTTAGTTTAGCATTTAACTCAGTCGATATTAAAATTAACTCGAAACTATGAACAACTTTACTTAAAATAATAACCTGCTTGATTACCTAGTGCTAGTTTGGGGACGTTTTTAATTCTATTATTATTAATATGCATAACTGTTTTTTTTTACAACGTTATACAGATTATAAATCATATAGACATAAATATTTACAATGTAGCCTAAATTACCTGATTGCGTTTCACCCTCATCCCCAAATTACACGTTTATTATATTGCATATCACAGGAAACTGTTCATTTTACTCATACCGCCTATACTTCCGGTATTTGACACTACCCCCAAAACGCCTAAAGGCACTTACGCTTTATGTCGATTACTATTATTACCCGACCTTTTGTATCCCAACACGGCAATTTTTTTCCAGGTCGAATACTGGACATCCCCTGCAAAGTCTGCGGGGACTTTTCTTCGGGAAAACACTACAACATCTTCGCCTGCGACGGATGTGCCGGTTTCTTCAAGCGCTCTATCCGAAAAAGCCGGCAGTACGTTTGCAAAGCCAAGGAAGAAGGTTCTTGCATTATCGACAAAACCCACAGAAACCAATGCAGAGCCTGCCGACTAAAGAAATGCCAAAGTGTCGGAATGAACAAAGACGGTAAGAAGCAAACTGTTTATCTTAATTATTTCACGTGCGTTTGATTCTGAAAGCGAAAAGCCATCGACTTGAAGCAGCCACTCAAAGTCAAAAGAAATTACTCGAGGAAATTAAAAGCCTCTTGAATGTTGTAACTTTTGGCTTCAAGATTGCACCAGGTGGAATAACATGAATGAATTCAAGCGCGTGATTGTTGTTTTAGTGGTTAATGCGGTCCTGTATTGGTAATTTTTGTTATTTCAGCGGTGCAACATGAACGAGGGCCCAGGAACTCCACTCTGAGGAGACAGCAAATGTCAAATTACTACAACGAGAGTAGAGTGCTTGTGTCTCCACCAGCAAACGTCCTCAACCTCACCATGCCCAAATACGAGCCAAATCCGTCCATTATTGACCCTCCAGTTCCTTTGTTACCCCCAGCAGGGTTCTTGTGCAATAACTATCTGCCGCTTCCGCAGGTAATTTCGACAACACCATTGACAAACTTATAAATATTAATAGCTGTTCTTGTTTAGGTCCCGCCGTTGTCTCTGCCTTCCGTTTTCACCCCTCCGATGCTCAACCCATCAGCGATTCGCGAATCCGCGGCACAACTTCTTTTTATGAATGTCCAGTGGGTCAGAACCGCGCCAGAATTTACGTCGTTACCAATCTGTGATCAGCTACTCCTGCTTGAAGAAAGTTGGCTGGATCTATTCATTTTGGGGGCGGCACAATTTTTGCCGATGATCGATTTTGGAATTCTGGTGCAATCTTGTGAGATTTTCCAACAAGAGCTTCAGAACAGAGAGTTTATTAGAGAAGTCAATGACTTTCAAGATACGCTGAAAAAGATAACTCAGTTCCAACTGGATGCGCAAGAATATGCCTGTTTGCGCGCTATCGTCCTTTTCAAAACGTCTTTTGATAAACCCTCCTCGTCTGATAACCATGACAGGACGACGGTAGAGAGTGCAAAAATTGCGGTTATTCAGAATGATGCCCGGATGAGATTAACCAAGCACGTTTCGACTGTGTACCCTAAACAGCCTTTGAGGTTTGGCAGGATACTACTATTACTTAGTTCCTCTTTTAGAACTGTTTCTGCAAGGACTATAGAGGAGTTGTTTTTTAAAAAAGTGATTAGAGACACGCCGATTGTTGCAATTATTGCAAATATGTATAAAAATCAGTTTTTGGGAAATAATAATGCGTGACATTTAATCTTTGTTTTGTAACTTTAAGTTCTGCAATATTTCTAGGTTTAGTGAACGCACTGTGATGTATATAGTTAAGTAGGGTTAGAACAAGAGATTGCGCTCTGAGTTTTCGTTTTGTATATAGAATAAAAATCTCTCTAATGCTTTATTATTTACGTAAAAAAATGTCAAAAATATTTTCTATGTAGATAACACCTGACATTAAATATTTACATATTTTGAATCAAAGTGTTTTATTATGGCAATAAAGTTCTCAAAAGAAATAAGACTTTTTATAAGTAGGATTCAAATCATATCGTTGAATAATTCAGAATTATCCTAAAATACTCTACCTCGTCATTTCATCGGATAAACGAGTACCTTGATACAGATAAATGAGTTTACTGTTTTATTAAATTTTGTTTCTATTATTCTTATACAAAAAAATTTTTCAACATCAATTGAATCGAAATTGTTGATTGTTTAAGATTGATTAAGGTCTATATGGTGTGTGCAGAAGAAAAAGTCGTCAACGTGCCCTCGTTTCTAACCTCACTTTTTCGTGCAATAAAATTAACCTTTTTCAACAACCTTGTCAAATGTCAATTATGCACAACAGTATGGATTAATAAAACACATGCGTTTTCCATCAGAAAAACAACTAGCTTAACGTTTATTTCAAATAAAAATTAACCACATCTCATATAAACATAGTAATAGAGGTTTAAAATCTGGAAGGTTGGTTATGCCGAACACTGTCAGTTGGAAATGATTTCATCGAAAGGATAAATAAATAGATTTAAATACCATTTGGGAAGCAGTGCCAGGACTTCACTATAATTTGGAAGCTTTTAGCACAAGGTCTACACATAATGATTAAATTAGATATGTTTTGTATTTGTACTAATAAATTATAACTTAAAATAAATACATTATCATTTTTGTAGTACATTAATTTCGTATATAAACGAAAATTTATAATTTGTACATCAGACTTCCTCTGTGCACTTGCTCTCCTTGAATTGTTAATGAAAATTTGGTGATTTCCTGTCAACTTCCTTCGATTTGTTGATATTGTGGGGCTTCTTGCACGCCACAATTTAAAGTTTTCCTCCAAAGAGTGAATCCGCCTTTGAGTTTTCACCCAAGAGATCCAGATTAAAAAAAAAACTAAATTGTATAACCACATTTCGTAATTTATTTAGTAACTGCAAAACCGAATATTCTAAAATCTTACAAACATTTTAGAATAATCGTTAGCATGATACATTTTTAATCAAAATGTGTCTGTTTATTATTTATTGATGATTTATCGTAGCATTCATCTTTTTACTTCCTGGGCGCAAGCTAAGGAAGTATTGTAATCGAGTCCATCGCGCGATTGACTACTTTCATGTTTTCTCAACGTTTCATGAACCCTAGTGTATGAAAAAATAGATCTTTTGTTTCCATATATATGCCTGTTTCCAGAACTACTGGACCGATTGCTGTCAAAAGTTATATGTGTATTACGAATACCTTGTAGATTATAAAACGTTAACCAAAGTTTTGTTAGTCATTACCATCATTAATAGGATGACGTCATCTCCAAAGTTTACACTAATAAATGTTCTTAAAATTTTATTAATTAACATGCTCCTGTATATGTGATTTATGAATCCTGTGAAATTTTGCAAACAGTTTAAAAGGGTATTGGAAGCAACTTTAATCAAAATTTGTCCGTATATACGGATCCACCCAAAAAATGATATTATCTTACAAAGTGGCCGAATAAATATGTATTCTTCAAATTTATTAATGTTACGCTAGACGTTCGGTTTTTTGGGAAAACAATCAATCAAATTTCATTTTCTTTCAACACAAATGCCGTCACTGAACGTGTTAATAATTGAATTTTTCCGAAGTATAAAAATAAACAGTCGTATTCGTTAACTGAGAACACATTTTTGCCCGTTTGTTATCAGCCTTAAGCTACTTTATAGCGGTTATCACAAAATAAAACCCGCAAAACCTAATTTTATAATTTTTCATATCAGCGGATTTTATTGGAATCTAATTCAAGGGCGAGGGAAGTGCTGACGAAATAACTTTCGACCAGTTCTCTAAAATTGCTTAGGTATATAGGATAATTCAAAAAATTTATTTTATTGATTAAATCAAGAACGGTTCACTCCAGTTTCTCGAAAATTTGGAAATATGATTAGTATTATACTGCACATATCTAAAATGATATACGTGTTCTTACTAAAATGTTGATGAAGTTATCACAAAATTTTATAACAGAAATACTCACTTGAAACATACACCTTATAACGGTTATCATAAAAAAATAAAATCCGCAAAATCAAATTTTATCATTTTTCGAAAAAGCTGGATATTTTGGATTGTATTCAGGGGCGTGCGAAGTTCTGTATAAATAACCTTAGACCAATATTTTACTTACTTACGGTTTTTACCTTAATTTATTTTAGAATCCTGTACATATGTGTACTATTTTGAATTTGGATGTTAGTTGATTAGTTTCACGTATTTTTTTAACTAATGACTCGTAAAATTATTTTACCTGTCATTAAAAATACGTCTCGGTAAAATTAACTACGACGCTTAATTTGAAAACTAATTACTTACAAATTTTGGCAGGCTTTTCTCTTACTTTGTACTGCAATTTATAAATTCGGGTTCATTTAAAAGCAATACGTCTTAGAAATTAGTCGCTTTTGTATAAAAAAATCATCAACTGTGATGATATAATCAGATTTTATTAACTTAACTGGGTACTTACCTTGACATGGAGTCTGACAAACCGGCCCACATATTTCACACTGCCCTAGTCGTGCAAATTTTTTAGAGGTCTGTACTTTTTAATACCTTCCTAGTGTTGGAACTTCTATGAAATAATGCAAAATACGCAGGAGTGGGGTTTCATTTTCTCGTGGTACAGTGCATAAGAAGTCGCAGACTTCTTCTGTCAGTATGGAGAGTCGTTCGAGATCTGTGAACGTTTTAGACCCAAATTTTGAGGAAGATATCCGGAATAGTGAGTTGGAAAGTGACTGTAGTGACTCAGAAATTACTGAAAATGATGCAATAATGGTGACAACACTAATATTTCTGTCGATAATTCTTGCTCCAGTGTTAAAGTTGAGGAAAGTGATACTGACGGCAGAAATAAAAGGAAGACCCACTTCCCAGTTGCCTTCAATGTTCAAGAAAATGGTACCTAACTGTTGCTTTGAAAAGCAGAGCCATAAAAACTCCCTGCACGTTTTTTTCTCTGAAGATGCAGGGTGTTATTTTTTTTGTAATTATATAAACATTTTTCTCTTACTCTCATCTAAAATAAACCAAGTTTTCGTTTTCCTTAGAAATAAAATTAGGCCGTCAAAACAAGTGTCATTTATTTACATTGTTATGATGCATGTTATTTTAAATTTTTCTATCAGGTAATTTGAACAAGTTTTTGTTAATGGAACTCATCTTTAAGTACTTACATATAAACCGCAATAACAAAATTAATTATTAAATAAGTATTAATAATTTTTTAAATCGGAGTCTGTGACACTCCATGTCAGTGTTAGTGCACTAAACGCGGGTGTCAGTTCTTAAGGGTTAACGTAGTAACCAATGTGGATAAGCAGTTACGAATTTCTAGATTTCGAAAAATAAGTCTCATCAAATTAATTACTGTGATAATGATAGCAATATTAATTATCGAATGCATTTCTGAGATGTCCAACTATGTAATAGCGGTAAACTAATGATAATAAAAATAATAGTCTAAATTGTTCCAGCTATTGTTTTATTAGAGCGAACTAATAATAAGTATCAATAATAATAATCTATAATAAGCTTTAGAAACGTACTAATTTAATACTCATATTTTTTATATTTAACAGATGTGCTAAAGACTTATACACGTCACTGTCCATCATAAAGCCCCTCTCAATATTATCCTCTGAAAGGGATTATGTAACAACTAAACGGTGGTTGACATTCAATAATTATTCAAATTATTGTTGGTCTTATAGCCCTTCGCATGTCACATGATTATGACATCCATTTTAATTTTAGGGGGCAACCACAATGTGAAGTGGGAAAAAGCGTGCGATATTTTCATAGTCTAAATCAATAAAGTGTAACCTAGATTTCACAACCAGCACCACCAACATAAAACTTAATTACGCCAATCGTCATCAACGTGGTCACAGCGTTCATTTTTTTACGTTAATTTAGCGCAACGTATAAACCATGCTTTATATAGCGAATAAATTGATTTTTAAACCCAACTAACTTATCTGTCGACCGATTTGTCAACCCGCTCATAACAGTGGAAGTTAATACAGATCTGAAACTTTTGTGCATCAAGATCAGAGAAACCGCCATTTGTTTGCTAACAGCACAATGCTCATTAGTGATGGCGTTTCTAGCCTTGCTTACCTGACATTACAAACACAAAAGCCGGACTCAATCTTTCACAAAATCTTTTACTTCGCAAGTTCTTTTACAGTAGCCGGTATCGGCTTAAATCGGACGATGCTTATAGCTTCTGACATTCCCAAAAGAAACCCATGACACCCACATTATCCACCCCCAGAAAATAACTCGTGTTTTTTTAATAAACATATTCTACAAATTGTATAAAAAATATAAATAGACCGGTATTAAGGTTATTCTAGTACTCAACACTTACAATAGCCACTCTAACCATCGTACACTGAATGTTTTCTTGTTTTTGATGGGCGTGCACCACACAGAGCGATGAGTGTGTTGCCGCAAGCACTTGATGAGGCTCTCCAACTTTTGCGGAAACGGAAGGGCCCGCATTGTTTATATGGGTCAAAGATGAGTTCCCGTGAGACATTCAGATGATGTAGGACTCCCATCAACACTTACCCGGATTCTGTGAGCACCAGCGCGGCCACATCGCTGAAGACTTTATACCTCTGGATCTCAGCCTGTCAACAAAAGACACTAGGCGGCTGTAAACGTCATAGTCGTTCATTGTGTCGGGATCACTCCAGACTCTTTCCGCAAAAGCGGCTGATCTCGGCCATATTCGAGTTTCTAGAGAGTCGACTTCGACTTCTTCGGTCCAGAGGCAAACTTCACCACCTAGAGCTAGTTCCCGATAACCGTTGATTACCCACGGTCTGTGTTTATAGAATTTTTGCCAAGGCGTATAAGGATCACAAACGCCACTTGTCATACTAGGTTTCCACATGCCAAAGCCACAATCTAAGTACCATTGGCCTACTGTTGAATAGATCACTTTATGACCTCTTCTGAGAATTGAACTAGGATTACCAAGCCAGTGCTGGATGGTGACTTTAACATCTAGGGTATCTAGTTCTGAAGATTCTGTTAAAGGACTGGACCACATTATGATATGATCAGGGTAACGTCCATCGTTTGCTATTTTCAATCGTTCTAGCATTTGATTTGTGTAGCTTGCCCAAAATTGCTTCATAGAATTTTCTGCCTTCTTAGTTTTCACGGCTTGTGTGCCTTTCCAACAAGTTAAGTTCACCTCATCCGAACCCATATGAAACATCTCATTGTATCCACTCAGTTCCAATAAATCGTTGTATATGTCCTCCAATACTAACAATGCTTCGTCGTTATCTGGGTTTAGATGTCCGTTCAAAATATCACTTTCTCCACAAATCACGTATTTCTTGTTTAAACTCTCTCCAGCAAAATTCCAACCTGCATTTACATGACCAGGAGCGTCCACTTCTAACAAAACTTTGATACCTCTTGTAAGAGAATACTGCACTAAGTTTTTTATGTCTTCAGGAGAGTAAATCATGTCACGGCCGTAGGCACCAAACGCAGCAAGTTGTTTAACTCTTGGTAAAACAATAGGAAAACTCACTGCATCAGTGACGTGTAAATGTAAAACATTTAACTTTGACATTGCCATTCCATCAACGACTTTTTTAATTAAATCAAGAGGAAAATAATTTCGAGCAGTATCGATCATCACACCCCTATGGGGAAACTTTGGAGAATCTATTATGTCAACATTGTGAAGTATTCTTAATTCATCAATGACGTCATCGTACCAAATCAACTGTGAAAGAGTTTCGAGTGCGTGTCTCGCCCCGAAGTAAGTTTCAGCCACAATGACCGCTTCTAAATTATCATTATTTTCAACTACTAAGTGATATTTTTCGTTTGTGCCTAATTTTAATTTATCAGTAGTCGTATCCTGGATACTTATGATTATATGTAAAGTAGCTCTAGGTGTAGTTTGATTCCCGGGTTTCAACAGTTCAAGATTTCTTTTGAACAAATCAGTCGTGTTTATCAACATATTATACACTTGCCATTGTGTCGAAAAATTAAACGAGATTCTCGTCTTGTCTATAACTGTAGAATTCTTATATGTGACTATAACTTTCTCAGGTTTTGGCCAAAGCGAGGGTTGCGAGCACATCATGTTACATGTGTTTAGAGAAACTTCCTGTGTATTAGTATGGTACCTGACGCACTTATTACTTTCACATTTCCAAGTGTAACGTACAACTTCAAATCTGTAAAAAGTCAACACAACATAACAGATAAGTGTGAGTGAATCGTATGAAACAACTTACTCATCGTTTTCTGCCTCGGAAAAGAAAGTGTTTTGAATTCGAAGGGCATTATTTACGTGCGACAAACTGTCCGTATAACTAAAGAGAACCAAGAAACACGACATCACAAACATCACGAACATAACCGAAGAACAGCTGTCAGAAAACTGCCTCGTTTTCTTCATCGCTCACAAATTTACGGAATGCAATGTGTAAAGTAGAATTCGACGCGACTTATCAATACATTTTGCTGATAGTGTTATCTAAAATTTTAGATAGTCGTTTATCGTCTTTCGTAAAAATAAAACAACTTTGTTTGTTTCATCGTTTAACAACGTTACTGAGTTCGGTAACAAATTAAGACAAAACTGTGAAGGGTGCTTGCAATATGGAAACATTCAAGAGGTTCGGCTGTATTATTTTAAAGAGGGTTGTCGCGTATTGTGGTGTGCTGAAAGTCTTTGATTGTTTGAAGGTAACAAAGCTGCAAATTTATTCGGTATGGATTTGGTAATCGAAGTCTCTATAGTCAATTGTGTGGCGAGAGTGCACTTGGATTAACCCTTATGAGACAGCTGATACATGAAGTGGTAGCGGAAATCTAAATATTCACACAAGTAAGCGAATTAGTGGGAAAATTTTACTTTCGGAATTAGCGGAGGCTGGTGAGGTATTGTGCCGACAGGCAACATAAGAAGGAAGTAATTTTTTCGTGGTTGGTTACACCTTTTAATGGAGGTATTGGATAAACGAAGACTTCTACCTTTGCGGCAAACAACAAAATGAAATTCGCTCAAATAGGTTTTAAGTGTAACTAAATACACATCAAACGGTACCGACAGTGCAATTTTAAACTTTTGAAAAGCATGCAGTATGGAAATATAACACATTTTTGCAAACAAGATGATTAATAAAATGTGGAAACACACAAGATATTGATTAAATGTTAAAGATAAAGAGAGATAAAGGTGCACAAACAGAGAAGGGTCGTGAAGGTACAGGGTACTCCTATTCCTAATTTAAGTATATCATACCAAAACATGCATTAGATTTGTCGCTCATGTTAAGATTAATTTTAACTTTGCATTCCTTTAAATTTGGATTTTTACTGTCATCTTTTGAACTAAAATAAAAAAATAATTACGTCACCAAAATTGTTGTTCAATTTGAGTTTAACATAATCTTGGCAGACTCACGAGTCCACTTAACTTTAACATTAAGTAAATTTAATTTTGAATAATATAAAGAGTTAGAAAAAAATAATTAAATTCAGTGGTAAGGTAAGTTTACTGTGGAAACAAGAATACCGTAACTTGTTGTTTTGCTTTAACTAGACTCGCTTTTATTCGCTAAAAAAATCAACCGCTAATTTTAGAATACTTTCATCTGGAAAAAAAATTAAGACCATGAACTATGAGAGACTAACTGCACAGAATAAACTGTTTACAATTTAACCAAGGACTTAAATGATTTGAATGTGTATAAGACTTTCTACAAATTGTACAACCTTTATCTCGAAAAATAAAAAGCATGTTCGAGTGTTATTATTTGTATTTAATGTGAATAATGTTGCTCGCGCTAGTTGGGCATACCAACAATTGTAGGAAAGTGCTGTGATTTTAATAATTAAATACTTCTGATCTATAACTGACAAACTTGTTACGAAATTACCCACCCACGAGTTTGCTACAAAATTATGATTATTATATGATGAAGTTGCCTACAGAGTAGTGTTCCGAAGAATTTACTATCATAATGACGTTTTTCGTATGAAAAAGGTTACTGACGTAACTATGTCACTTTCGTCAGTTTTTATGTTTATAAAATATTTGTGTTTACATATATTAAAAAAAAAACAAATGTAATAAAAAGCGTCCTAAAAAATCGGATTTTATTATAAACCCTAATCCAGTAAAATTATTGAATAATAATATCTCGGGAAAGTAAATATGTCTAACGACTTATTGTTGAAAATAATTTTATCCTTAATACGGAATAAGAAACCTTGTATAGTCTCTCTGAAAATATTACCTTTCCGATCTGTTCTTGTCTCTTGCTATTTGGAATTATATGAACGATCTTTCTTCATATGATTTTCATCTCAAGTAAGACTCTTCGGAATTAAGAAAAATAGACATTAGTTTAGAGCCAAAAGTTTAACAATGAACAACACTAAAATTTGTAACGGTTAATTAATATAAAAAAAAAAATTGGTCGAAGGTTATTTCGACAGTACTTCCCTCGCCCCTGAAGTAGAATAAAACAAATCCAGATTTTTCGAAAAAATTCAAATGAGCAACATTTTTGCAAAGACATATATCATTTTGGATATGTCTAAGAACAGTATTGTAACAGCTTTTAAGGCAATGATAAATCACAAGTATAGACTTATCGTAATGTGTACATTTTGCATAGAATTTATTCAGCAATTTTTTGGGATGACGTCATTTTTTTTGAGAGGGGATAAACGAATACATTTTTCTTAACGATTTACCATGATTATGATAACCTTAAAATATTTACAAGATTTTAGAGCATTCGAATTTGCATTTTCAAAATTAAATTGCAAAATATTGTAATAGAGTATTGGATTTTTTTTACAAAAATCTGTATGTCTAGGGTGAAAATCGACACGGATTCACGAAACGCAAGTGAAGGAATATCTTATTTTATAGAATATAAAAAAATACTGATATAAGTTTTGACATGATATTCCTAATATTTGACAACAACAATCGGTCCGGTGGTTTCGGAGATTGCGTATCTAATAAAAATGGATACAGACACCAAACAGATAGACAAACAGATCGACCGACAGATAGACGGAAACGGGACACCACTTTTTTCGTACTCTAGAGGTCATGACACGTCGAGAAAATATGAAAGTGGTAATTCGTCCGATGAACTCGATTACTATACTTCCTTAGTTTACGCTCAGGAAGTAAAAATTGTAAAATGAATGTACGGCTGGCCTTGTGCTGGATGACATTTGTTATTTAAGGAGCTTAAGCTAAGAAGGTATGGTAATTAGGTCTATCCGACGAATGGCTACTTTCATGTTTTCTACAATGTTTCAAGAACTCTAGAATACGTCTTACACGTATTGCCTTTTTTAACAGGAAAATGAACAGAGAATGTATGGAATATGGTCGTAATCATTTTTGTCTTAATTAACTATACGGAATTAGAACATATTCTTGTCGAATTTTATATGTATTATATTAGGAATATCTTGCAGATTATAAAATGCTAACCAAAATTTGGCTAACCATCCCCATTTTCTCAAAAATGTAAGAATACGGTAGTGTAGCGCCTGCCTATATTTATAGTATGCATAGGAGATAAAAAACCATCTTATAAAATTTATTGCGAATAACGAGACGGGCAATAGTACAATGGTAAGGAATATTTACAACTCAAAGTTTTCACCTGCCGATACTAAATAATTTTATGTGCAAAATTAATAAAAATAATCATTTATGCGGAATTACGTTTTTTATAAGTATTGTACCCAGAATAAATATCCAGAATTTGTATTTCTAATATTAGAAATAAAACAAATGCAGCCACAAAAGCAAATATCGCTCTGGTTCCGAATCAGATGAATCTTCATTATACACACGGTATTTTACTTGTTCTTAAATTTTGAGAATAGCGCAAATCCCACCCTGTGCCGAAAACTACTACTTGCTAAATATTTTTCCACAAATTCGGTTGAACTGGTGTCAACCATAAATATTTCCTACCAGTGTACCATTTTCCTCTCGTTATTGACGTTAAACTTTTATGAGGTATGTTTTCATTTCCTAAACTATAAGAGTAATGAAATAATAATTACCATAATAACAGTTCCTCACCGAAAGTATTATTCGGAATTTAATTTTCTTTTAACACAAATTCATGTGTCCACTAATGCTTGGTATCTGAACATCCTAATCCTCGAATTCTTTGGAAGTACATAAACACTCGAAGTTAAACCTGTTATTACTGAGATACATTTTTCCCTTTGGTTATCTGCTTTGAATATATTTTATATTATCGGTACCTGTGCGGACCGCGGCCCCCTTGCAATTTATTATTTAGATCCCTGGTTTTTATTTTATAGAGGCTCTTACAAAACAAAAACTGCATAATCAAATATAATTTTTCAAAGAAGCGGGAATTGATGGACTTTATTTCAGGAGCGACGGAGGAGGGAAATTATGTTAAAATAAAATTATATAGCTTGTCGTTTTCGCGCAAATGACATCAACTTTTTTTCCAGCAGAAAATGCGGTTCTAATATTTCAGATGTTTAAAAAGACAGAAGTTTGAAATTTGTAACGATTAATTGATGTAAAAAAAGTTGTAAAATGAATACAGTTGGCATTGTGTTGGATGACATTTTTTATTTAACGAGTGTAAGGTAGGGAAGTATGGTAATTCGGTTTATCCGACGAATGGCTACTTTCATACTTTCCACTTGCCAGGCGTCGTCGGTGTCGATTTTTATTAAACAATTCATCTACGAAACTACCGGACCGATTGTAGTCAAATTTTGTAGGTATATGTATATCGTGCAGATAGTAAAACGCTAACCAAACTTTGTCTAATCATCCTCACCAATAATGATGGCACCTCAAAATTGTACATAGTAAATATTATTTAAATTTTATAAATAACATACTGCTACACTTTTGGTTTATGAGTCCGTCTCGATTTTTGAAGGCAGACATCCATTTTTGGAAAAAAGCAATTGTATAATAACACTATTTTACAATATGACTTTGAAACTACACAACGGAATACTCTGAAATTTGCAAACGTTTTAAGGTTATCCTAAATATGGTAAATCGTTAACTAAAATGTATCTCTTTATCCCCTCTCTAAAAAAATAATAACATCATCTGAAAATTTTACGAATAATTCCTATCTAAAATGTGCAAAATACAGTGTGATCCAAAAGTTTTCTCAAAGAGGGAGACTATGATCAGCGCACGTAGGAAATGATATAAAGAGACCTCTAATGTAGAGAATTAATGTTTATTGGAAATAAATGGGATACGCTTACTTACACTTACACAGCCTCCCTTTATGAGAATTATTTTCAAACATATGTTATAGAATTGCTTACATCTACAAGGTGACTCAAAAAAAATTGTCAATGAGACAACTTATTTTATTGATCAAATTAAGACCGGCTCACCCCTTTTTCCAGAAAATTGGGGCATACATTACTTTTAT